CCCCCTTCACTCTCTCTCCGTCTTTCTTCCTCCCTCCCCAACGTCCTCTGTTCTGTTTGTCTGTGTGTCTGTTTCTCTATCACTACCCCCTCTCTCTCTTTCTCTATCTGTCTATCTATCTATCTATCTTTCTATCTCTATCAACACCCGCACGCGCTTCAGAAAGTTATAGTTTTGTTTGAAATAAAAGATTTATGAAACTCAAAAATGAGAGAATCATAGAATTTTCGCGGTTACTTCCCCTATTTTGGCGAAAGCATTGTTTACATTATGAATTGGTCATGATTGTTATTTTTACTTGTCCCGTTAACGGTGTTGAGTGGAATACGTTGCACTTACTGAGACGGACTGAATGACATTTCTGCGTTTCTTTGTTTACCTTGCCAATAAGCAAATGTCTGTTTTCAAACACACCAAATACACAATATTGAATACATGAATTAAGCAGACTTTACTACAGGGTGTCCTCTTTTCTCCGTACTTTTTTACATTTTCTATCCAGCCCCCGTCCAATCCAAACAGTTGACCGAGGGTGCCGTTTGGTAATTTGATGTGAGCATAGCATTTTCCCCCCTCAATGATTTTATCGTTTTACCATGGTCATAACCGGTGTCTGATGTAGCGTAGCGGTGAGGCGTTTCACTGTCTCATGCTAGAGACCCGAGTTCGATTCTTAAGTTAGGAGATATTTTAAATCGAGTTTCTTGGGTTTTTTGCTGGGATGTTGTATCCCTCTCAGCCCGAGTTGGCCCTGACAGGCATGGTTGGAAGCCTGACCCCTAAATGATCTAAATTGTGTCCATTTGAGGCGTAAAAACATGTACATTTAAAACAAAAGTACAAGGTGTCGTTATTCTGTGTATGCATCAAGCCAAATGATGCGTCACTGGGCTGCACAACTCTCTCTGTTAAGTTGTTTTGCTACTCTGATTAGATCACCCCCCCCCCCCCCCCAAATCTACTTTCGTCTGGTAAAGGATACGGGTGTGCTCAAAAACAAAACAAAAAACCCACAAACCACAGGACAGCACCACAAACAGCATAACAAAGGAGGATAACAAAGGAAGTTATTTCAGTTTGTTGTTTTTTAAATGCAAAAATGTAGCAGCAACAACTTAAACAAGACAACAAGGGAATGTATGTGTGTAAGATGCAGTTGCGCGCCCCTTCCACTGAGTTCAACTGAAACAAACCCAGACAAAATGAAATAAATTTAATAAGTAAAACAAGTGCACTTGGCACACACACAACGCCGTTGTCTGAGACGTTCAAGAGAACCACTGATCAACCCCATGCTGCGCACAAAGGTGACAGGAGAGTAACTTTCGGTCTTGAAAGTCCCCAAATTGAGAAGGCTGACGATCAGATCAAGACATTTCTTTCCTCAGTTCGAAGAAAGAGTGAAATTTCAATCCACCACACCCCAATGGCACACGCATGCACGCACACACATCGATAGCGAGTTAGAAAGAAAGAGAGCGAGGGGGAGAAGGAACCGGGACGGGAAGACCGAAGGAAGAAAGAAAAAAATTCTTCGCGGAAGACAATTCTCCTTTTCCTTACCTAGCCTGGCCTCAATAGAGACACCACCACCCCCCCTACTCGAAAGAAAAAGAAAACCTGCTGTCCATTCAGACCAGCAAAAACCGAAGACGATCGACAACACTGAGTCCTGGGACAGGGAGGTGGAAATGTCAGAGGTCAAGCGAGGTTCTGGTTTCGTTCTATGGGCGGCGGGTGGATGTCCCGTGTGTTTTTGTGTCTGCCTGCTTGACCCCCACGCCCCCAAAACCCGACACCCGAGAGGCCTATTCTTTATTCTTTTTAAAGCAGGCCAGGTCACCGCGGAGCAAAATATCACTTCAGTAAACACGCACGCATACACACAGTCAACGTAACACACACGCACACACATAGTCCTACTAAAATCAAATACGTACACACATGCACGCCAACACACACACACACACACATTCACATCCACAAACACACACGGAATACTAAACACGAACACACGCGCAAGCACACATACAGTCCAGTCTATTATTACACAGAGTCTAGGCACACTTGTAAGGTCAGGTCAGTTCACTTTGTAGCACAAACAAGCTTGTTGAAGTAAGTTAAAGAAAAGAGAAGCATATTATCCTCACCTAACAACCTACTTCATAACTTGGGGTTGGGGAAAAAGCAAGATATAGAAACAACAAGGGGAAAGAAAAGAAAAAGACGTCACTTCTAATCACCCACCAAAAGAAAGTGACAGCATACAAGCGTACATCCATTTGCAAGAAGACGTCACTTTTAATCACCCACCAAAAGAAAGTGACAGCATACAAGCGTACATCCATTTGCAAACAAACACATTTTATCAGTTTAATTTGTAATACAAATCAAATCAGAGGGAAAACAAATAATTCAATTTGTAACACAAACAAACCCGAGAGGCCATACACGCACATACTTACATACACAAACATTTCAATTTGTAACAAACAAGACCACACACCACGCACATAATTATATACACAAACATTTCAATTTGTAGCACATACAAGAGGTCACCACCCACGAACAAACTACATACACACCCACATAAACAAGCACATGTCCGTTCCATGTGTCACACAAACCACCAGCCATCTCTCTCTCTCTCTCTCTCTCTCTCTCTCTCT